GTGGGGTCACTGGAGCTGGATGCTCAGAACCAGTAAACGAATGGGCTGGGAGGCGATGAGGCCGATTGGAGGGTCATTCATGAGAGGCGGTGAAGATGACGAAGAGGATTAAGGGTCTTGATGAGTGCTCTCACATGCTTTGTTCTTTGCGGTCTACAGGTGTTGGGCCCATGGTTTGCATTTCTGGGTCGGTGTGTAAGGTGTATGCGGCGTTAGGAGAATCCTATTGGCATAGTAAATGAAATACATACGATAAGAGATTGTAGGCTGAATTTGAGAAGCTCCTTTACCACGACATGATCAATGGGAAGCTTGGAGTAGAAGAATTGTGTGCAGGCTCCCAAAAGAAACAAGTGTCTCGTAGAAGAAGAAAGTAAGAAATCTCTACCTCTAATATCTAGTCTAGTAGGAGAAAGCTCTAGATATTCATTGTTAAAAAAGAAGCAATATACTCGTTTCTTTAAGGCTTACATCTGATATCTAGGCAGGAAGCGATAGCGCGCCTTAAATGCGGGGCAGAGCTGGCGCAGGACAGATCATGACGATGCGGGGAAGGCTGCCACCTGAAGTCAACTCCAACTTGATGCAACTTCGCCCGATCCACCCAAACTTTCATCAAATCTTACCTTTTAACTCCGGATATCCACCTGTGCATGCTGAATTTTCATTTTCAGCTTGGCACTCAGGATGGCGGACACATCCAAAGCGATAGAGGCTCTTAAGGAGTCTCGCCCGCCGGCAACTGATCGCTTCACTTACCTTACTATCATCGAGCAGTTTCTTTCACCTGATATACTGCCTACGCTCAACGAGATCTTGCAAGATGCCCACCTGACACAAGAGATTGGCTGGGACTTGGTGGATATGCTCATTTCCCTTCCAGACTGCGGGCCATGCCTGGAAACTGTGGCACGACTGGGCAACCCCCGTGAAGTGATACTCAAGGTCCTAGAATCACTAGAAGGGATCCAGGAAGTGAGCGATGAGGAGCAAGTCGAGGAGGCGAGCTCGGAGGGAGATAAGCAGCAGAGCACAGCCGATGTTGACAGGAAATTTATCACCTTGCTCGGGATGCTTGCGATCCTGCACAAACGCATCGAGACTAAGCGCCCTTCACGTTTTCTCGCATCAAGTCTGCTCACAGTGTACCGAACATATCGACCGAATCAGCAGATGACAGCCTCAGTCATCAACCTGGTGCATTCACTCTCTGGTCATAAGCGGCCAACGCTTCCCACACGCAAATCCAGCGTCAATGTCACCAATCCGGATCCAGACGGGGATAATTCGAAGAACGCACCGGATCCAGAAGCCGATGAGAAGGAAGATCCGACCGAAGCTGGTATCCAGCAAAAGCTATTACTATCTTTTGTCACATGCATTCTAGAATCTTTTGTGAATGCTAACGGTCTACAATGGTCACGGCGACTGCTCGAGTATTACAAGCCAGACAAAATTGTGCCAGGGAGAGTAACAGCACTCCAGGCGTTTAGGGAAGACCAAGAACTACTAAATCGAGACTCCATGATTGGCCAGTTGGTGGTACGTTCATTTCATTTCTCTCATGCTGTTTGTGGAATATGTATTAATCCAACCACCAGGCACTCACGCGGGATCTGGGGTTGACAAGCTGCTCAACATCATTTATCAGAGAAGTCTGTGACGGCCCAATCAGTCGAGATCCTCTCGCAGAAACCGAAGATGTTCTCAAGCCCGAAGATATTCGCCTTTCAACAGGCGGGGCTGTGTGCCTGATGGCCTACTGGGCATTCTCGTCGACAGTATTTGAAGCCAATGATCCGCAGCCAATAATGCACATCTTCCCAGATCATTTCCTCCTACTCGAGGAATACCTGGAAGACGATGCTCAGAGTCAGATTTTCAGCACACCTGGAACCATTGAAGCAATTATTGTTCTTGGCCTCTGGCTCGAAGAGAACAAGTTGATATCGGAGACGAGCGAAGCCAATTTCATGTCTTACCATCACCAAATCACACTCTGCTCGGTCTATCATCCCGATCTGCATGTTCGCAACGCCGCGGTCGTTCTGGCCGGCCACGTTCTTCATTCTGATCCGGACGAGGATGACCGATTGAAGATCCTGGAGGACTTGCTAGAGAACTGCATGTTCGCGTCGCTCAAGGCCTGTGCCCTGACTTGGCTTCGAGAGGAGCTGATATCAGCTCAAAAAGAAAAGGCGCCCAACGCTTTCTCCTCGCCTGACTCGATCGAGCAAGTACAGTATCTGATATTCCCAAATATGGCGCTTCTGGAAGAGATGGATGATGAAGGTCTCCTGGATTACTGGGTTCAAAATTCGGCTTTTGTGATCCAGGCTGCTAACTTTGCGTACTTCTTGTTTAACTCCGACACCTACCAACATCTGGTTCCTGCCGCAATGCGGGCCGGAGTCGAACAGCGTTATGTCGAACCTTTGCTAGCGGCGGCAGCAAGACTGGAAGGCATCATCACGAAGGGAGCTTCTTCTGGTGTTGGCATGTCGGAGGTTACTCTACAGCTGGACATTCTCCAGGACCGACTGAAGAGTCTCTCGTTGCATTAGCGGATGGTTCTTGTTATCGTGATATCACTCGGGGTCTCAAATTGGTTCTCGGCTGGACTACTACTCTCACAGTGGGAGTTGGACGGGGTGTTTGAGGATCAGATTCATATGGAATAAGTTGACGATAATGGGACAGCACTTTGCGTGCTGCCTTGAAATCTGAAGAGTTCATCAAGGCTATTTAGGCCGAACAACGAGGTGTTTCATCTTCATTAAATAGCCGCTTCTCAAGGAATTCTAGATAGCTGCTCAAACACAATGTCTTGATACCCACTGGGTTGTTAGTGATCAGCGATGATGTAAATGTTGAACGAGCCGCAAAAGTTTATTCAAGCCAATGCCATAAACATTAGTCTGGCTACATCTCGTCAAAGTTGCGACGTGAATAATCCGGAGATTGACATCCTGGCCGCGCCGGTAGGTTTGCTCCGCGCAGATATTGGTCTGCCGGAGAATTAAGACGTTGAGAGGGCGACTTGGTTGGCCAGGACCATCCTTGGCGGTGGTATGCAGGTGGTACAGGGGACAGCAGGGGTTCAGTGGCCGGCGCACCCTGGGGTTTTAGTGGCTTGTGCAGGGGCAAACTGCGCCAAGGCTAGTGCCCGTTGCGCTATCAACCAGTGAGTGGTGCTGGGCGTGATGTCATCAACCAAACCTTCTTGAGCACCTCGTGCTACAGACCAGGGACCCGAGGCGAGGCAATCTGCCAACTCCTTGTCTAGCTTGGCCCTACGTCAACATGTGCGCGGCAGGCGATAATGTGTCCTTCATTATTAGCGAGATCAACAATCAAATGTACCTGTGTACTCTATAGAAATAGAAACTGTGGCGTTGGCGTTTGAATATCAAACTGTTAACTGCTTTCTTCTGCGGCCGTTGGATATCGCTCTTTCCAAAGCGGATGGAGTCTATGGAGTGCCACGAGCTCCGCAAAGAGCTTCTGAAACTCTAATTTACGACATCATACCTCCTCATAACCGCCGGGCAGCACCCGTACAAATTCAACAGAAAGCAACGAGTTTGGCTGCCCGCATAGACCCGGTCCCTGATTATCTCGATGGCTTCCTTGCCTCGACTAGACACACAGGCTGCGGCTGAGTCCTCGCAGGTTGAGGGGCAGTCGGTGCGCCTGGATACCACCGTCCAACGCGGCCAGCCTGTCACTCTCGTCAAAGATGACCAAGGACACGTTGTGTATCCGGCATATGTGCCGCAAGGCACTCAATCCCCAACTTCGGGCCTATCTCCTCGGACTGCAGACAAGGAGATGGCTCCGTTGGACGCCGAGGGTCCACGACTGGCAAAGAGCGATCCTTTACCGACAAATGGCAAGGACGCTGGAACCCGGCCTACCATGCAAGGCAAACAGTGGGCTACAGAGCTTCCTGGACGAGCAAATCGACGCGTGTCTACATTGCCGCCCCTGATGAAACGTGCAGGAACCAACGTGTCGCAACTACAGAACGCGTTGTGGGAGTCTAATGCTCATCCGGATGACGAGTCTTCAAGTAGCAGCTCTTCGTCCTCGGAAGATGAGGACCAGGAGCCACAAGCAGACGGGGGAGGACCAAAGAAAACGCCAGTAAGACACCGAACGACCGATCAGTTTCGACGTTTTAAGGTGGGAAATGAAAATTACAGAACCAAGGGCAAAGTCTCTAGAAAGGATGGCCGTTTAAACATTTCGGTCAAGGATATGAGCAATACAGGATATCTCGCCAAGGCGCTCGGTGCCGCGGTTCGGAAGGTCGTGCCTTTGCAGGATGATAGCGAAGCGGAAGAGGCGGAAGGCGGCAGGCGTCCCTCAGCTTCTCGGATGTCGTCAGTGACGCTCGCCGAGCATGTGCGCTGCCCACCACTGAATATTGTAATCATGGTTATCGGATCACGCGGAGACGCACAGCCTTTCTTGAAAGTTGGAAAAGTTCTAAAGGAAAACTACGGGCACCGAGTCAGAATAGCAACGCATCCCGCTTTCCGTGAATTTGTCGAAAAGGACTCGGGCTTGGAATTCTTCTCGGTTGGTGGTGACCCAGCTGAGCTAATGGCTTTCATGGTCAAGAACCCGGGCATGATACCAACACTAGAGAGCGTCAAGGCTGGAGATATCGGGCGCCGACGGGCTGCAATGGCGGAAATGTTCGAGGGCTTCTGGAGGGCTTGCATCAACGCCACAGATGATGAAAAGGACATAAGGAATGTTAAGATGATGGGCGAGAAGGATCCGTTCGTGGCAGATGCTATCATCGCTAACCCGCCGAGCTTTGCCCACATTCACTGTGCTGAAGCACTCGGCATCCCACTGCATCTAATGTTCACGTTCCCCTATACACCAACCCAAGCATTCCCACACCCACTAGCAACTGTCAAGAAATCAAACGTCGATCCGGGATATACCAACTTCATTTCATATCCTCTGGTCGAAATGATGGTATGGCAAGGACTTGGAGATCTTGTCAACGACTTCAGAGTCAAGACTCTAGGGCTCGACCCGGTTTCGACCTTGTGGGCTCCTGGCGCCACGTATCGTCAGCATGTGCCTTTTACCTACATGTGGAGTCCTGGCCTTGTACCAAAACCGGAAGACTGGGGCAAAGAAATAGACATCTCCGGCTTCGTATTCTTGGATCTTGCCTCGACATTCAAGCCACCTGATGCTTTGACAAAATTCCTGGATTCTGGAGAGCCGCCTATCTATATTGGGTTTGGGTCCATTGTCGTGGATGATGCCGAGCGGTTCACAGAGATGATATTCGAAGCCGTTAAGCTGGCGGGCGTCCGCGCTCTAGTCTCGGAGGGATGGGGTGGACTGGGCTCCAAGAATGTCCCTGAGAATATATACATGTTAGAGAACACGCCACATGACTGGCTATTTCCCCGGATTAAGGCCTGTGTCATCCATGGTGGTGCCGGTACAACGGCTATTGCACTCAAATGTGGCAAGCCAACCATGGTTGTACCTTTCTTCGGCGACCAGCATTTTTGGGGCAGCATGATTGGGCGAGCAAAGGCTGGGCCAGAGCCAGTCCCTTACAAGAGCTTGACTGCCGAGAAGCTGACTGAGGGCATCAAATACTGCCTGACTGAAGAAGCCAAGAGCGGCGCAGAAGATATTGCCAAGTGTATTGAGTTGGAGGGAGATGGCGCTGAGAACGCCTGCAAAGCCTTTCATAAGCACCTGGTTCTTTCGGGAAAGCACTCGATGCGATGCTCAGTTCTCGATGATCGCGTGGCAGTTTGGAAATTGAAGAACACGAACTTGAAACTGAGTGCCTTGGCAGCAGATATGCTGGTCCAAAAAGGGGCGCTTAATTGGAAGAAGCTACGCCTTACAAGACACAATGAGTGGAATGACTTTGAAGGACCAGGCGAACCGGTGACCGGCATTGCGGGTTCGCTGATTGGATCTGTTGGTGAAGTCTTCGGTGGTATAGGGGGTGTTCCAGCTCGGCTAGCGAAGACTTCGAATAAGAGGAAAGAACGCAAAGAAGAAAGGAAGAAGAGGCACGAAGCGAAGCGGAAAGCTAAACAAAAGGTCTTAGCGAACGGTGCAGCAACAAAAACTAAGGTTGATCAGCCAGAGATCGCTAGAACGGATCAGCTAACAGGAGGGGAGGAGCAACGGACAGACAGCGGGAGGACACAAAATGACGGGCAAGTGATCGGTGGCCAGCTTGCAGATGACGCGTCAATTCACACTGCAACTACAAATGGGACCGCCGAAGACAACGCAGCCGAAGACTTTGCAGCTGAAGTTGGAAAGGGCGTGGGCATGACAGCTCAAGCACTTGCCAAAGCCCCAGTTGATTTATCACTCGCAGTAGCTCAAGGATTCCATAACGCACCCCGACTTTATGGCGACGACACAGTCAGACGTCCGCCTCGTGTGACGGGCATCAAATCCGGTCTACATGCCGCGCGCTATGAGTTCGTCTATGGCATATACGACGGCTGGACTGGCCTTGTCCGGCTGCCAGCGAGGGGTATCAGCTCAGGTGGTGGTGTCCGGGGATTCGCCAAGGGCGTCGGTATGGGCTCTTTGGGCTTTGTACTCAAAGACATCTCCGCTATTGTAGGGCCAATAGGTTATACGCTCAAAGGGGTGAAGAAGCAGATCGAGCGCAGCAAACAGCCGTATAAGTACATTCGGCGCGCGCGCATAGCCCAGGGTCAGAGAGAGCTTCACAGTCTTAGCGACGACGAGCGGATGGCGAGAGCGCGAACTGTTGAAACGGGCTGGGAGGTCATGAAAGCGTTATGGGGGGCTGTAGAGAGGCAAGAAAAGGAGCAAGGCGGACTGAAAGGGCGCTTCAGCTTGAAGAAAAAGCAAGCCTTGTGTGATGCGTTTGAGAGTGTCGAGATCGCGGAGAAGGCGCTGGACGCCATGAAACGCGGCCAATCTCTGGAGGACGCCGTCAAGGAAGCGCGTAAGTCGGAGGAAGTCGTTCGAGGGAAGAGAAAGTCCGCCGATGGAAGGGCTAAGTCGACTGATAAGAGGAGATCGCACGATAAGGGTCGAGATCCTGACGATATAAGTGGCAAATAGAATAACATCTCCGTCACCGAGCCAATTACGGAAAACGCAGTGGAAGAGCAGACTGCGAACGCAACTGTTGGGGATATAGGGATGAATGCCAAAGTGCAAACATAGGTTTGGACGGCGCACATTGTTCAAGGATGGGTTTTCGAAGCATGGCAGGACTTTCTTATCCTCTTGGTCTTGCATCATACCCCTTTGTTAAAGATTTCTTGTGCCCTGGGCGAGGCTGGAGGAACTCTATAATTACACTAATACCACGTAAACTTGAATGAAAATGATACCCGAATTAACAGTGTCCTTGTTGCTTTGCAAATGAGCCATATTACGTTGCTTCTCTGTCAACTTACCCTTGCGCATAACAATCGCTGGATTTAGATGATATTCTAAATACTGAAGAGCCATTTAAGGGGGGGGAGGGGGGGGGGGAGGAGTTGATGAACTCCCGCTTCTTACCTTTCCACGGTCAATCGTACCTTACTGTCCGTGTTATGGTGTAGACAGTGTCACCATTGCCATTTCTGCGGGAATATCGGGCTCCGGCCCGGGCCGTCACCGGCGCAAGATTCAATGAGCACTTCTGAAGAGCCGTATAAGTCACGAACTCGTTGAGATAACCAATTGCCCTCTCAGACCACCTTTATGGTTCGTCAAATATCGAGGAAGGCACTGGCCGTTCTTTTTTGAACAATTGGATCTGGATAAAAGCTGATCCGGCCTAATCCAGCCTGATGCTTCCCTCGCGAGAGTCGAGGATGGGAGCACAACAGAATCGAGCAATTGCTTCTCCTTGGAGTTGAACAAAGGAAAGGCGGTAAGCTTGTGTTCCCGCGTGTCTCCGGTTTAGACCGCCGGATGTCGCCATTGCAGCCACCTCAATTCCAGCAATGCTTATTGGCGGGTGAGGAAGCAGTCGTCGGTTTCAAGAGCAGGTCGAGTGTGCGCCTCCCAACAGATGGTGCACCCGTCCTAGATTAGGTTCCCCCGCTCTGGCGACCGCTAAAGATCGTTGGAAACAAGGAATATCGGCGCCTTGCCTCGAAGTGGTGTCTACGCCAGCCTCCCACGCGGCAAGCCGACCGGAAGCCACCGGCGGATCGGAAGGGAGAGCCCTAGCCCGGGCACGATTGTGCCAATAGATCTCCCTCGCTCGCACCTCTTCGCTAATCGCTTACATAGATCCTCCCTACCACTCCACCTGCTTAGCCGGCGATGGTTCCGTTTCGTCTTTAGGGGGACCGTTGGTGCTTGACATTATGCAGCCAGTCTTGCAGACCAAGTAGCTGCCGTTGAGATGGTGAGACGCCCGGCATTCCTCGGGTATGACATTGCAGACATGACGAATGTCATGCCTTCTCAGAGAGCGTCGTGAAGACTGTCGCCGATGGCATTGGTAGACGAGACGAAGCCCTCATTCGAATAAGATCATATACGGTGAGTGGACAGACGGACGACGGACCTTTGCACCATACCGCCAGTTCTATAGCAGAGGCCGTACCTACCGGACTCGGCAGGCAGGGGGGTCAACGGCTCGACGAGGCGCAACGGGCTGTGATTGTGATGGGCTGGCTACGTTAGGTAAGGGGTTTGGCTGCCCGTCCCATCCCCATCCCCATCACATTTTCTGGAGAACGAGGAATAGCGCCCATATGTTTGACTCGCTCGGGGGAAAAGTACAAGTAACATAGGGTAAGTAGGAGAAGTAATGTAAATGGTAGCGTGAATTATCAAATCTCTCGTCTTGTGTGTGCGTGCGTGTGTGCGTGTGGCTCGCGCAGGTCTCTTATTTGTATCACACAACCCTCCGCATTTCCAAGTTTTTGTTTTCTGGCTTTCGGGAGAACCGAAGAGACGACCGGGAAGAAGGAAACTCTAAAAAGTCATCTCATGACACCGTAAGAGCCAGTCACTTATAAACAGATTCGCCGACTTCGAGGTGTCTTCTTATAAAGAGGCGTGAACGCACCTTACTTAACCAAGGCCAGGGTCAGGGTAACTTGATCCGCCCGAAAGAAGGCCAGAAATTAGGTCGCCGATAATCCATCATCCACCTACTCTACCCTCAAGAATATTGCGTGCCGCCTGTGTGTGGACGCCGCGCTTGAATCCGAGCAGCCACTTCGAAGCAAAGTTAGCAAACCGCCAGGGCCGGGCCTCTCGCGAGGATCAGGTTTGCCCGACGACCGCAACCTCTCTCACGACCCGAAAAAAATCTGCTTACTACGCTGCACGATTGAGGTCCCCGGGCTGATTAAAGCCACACCCTCTTCATTGACCTTGCATCTCTCGCCGCACATCTCCCTTGCATCATCGCCAAATCCAGCCTGCATCATCACACCTTTTGGGGTTTGGTGAGGGAGCTGAAGAGAGTCATGTCAGGCAGTCAGTCAATGGAGCCATTCCAGCCAGCAGACGCCGCCGCCCCGCCCTCCGCTGGGTCCAGCACCAGTTCGCCGCTCGACTCGAGCATCGGCGACCTCGACCCAGTCGCCGCATCGACGTCGGGATCCAGTGAAGCCCGCTCGTCCCAGGCGCCGCCCCCGACCGTCCCTGCCGCCTGCCTGGCCTGTGTAAGTCAAGTCTTGTCGAGTCGTCTCGTTCTGCCAATACACCGAGATTCCCCTGCCTGCTACCGCACTGGTGCTGCATTGTGACGTTGGAATCGTCCGAGCCGCCCGGTGCCAGCTCCATCCCAACCTCCAACACCGCTCCTTGACCACCTGCCTGCCTGCCCTAGTCTCTAGATTCTAGATCCCAGAGTGGCTGCTTATTGTACCGTACGTGGGCTAACGCATGGGTCGGTGTGATCGTGGGGGATACAGCGCGGAAAGCACCTCAAATGTGATGGCAACACGCCCTGCTCGCGCTGCCAGAGTTCCCAGTCGGAATGCATCTATATCGCCTCGCGAAGGGGCTACAAGGGCCCCCGGAGAGGCACTGCGCAGAATCCCAATAAACGCCAACGCTCCTCCTCCCCGCCAGCATCCACCGGCGTCAGCGACAGCTGTCCCATGCTGCTCGGCGCTACTCCGGTCTCCATCCCGACGACTACCTTCTCACCCTCGGTAGTCCTCCCCGGCACGGAACCAGGCACCCCCTTCAACACTACCGCTCCCGGGCTCTCTCATCTCCAGCTGTACCGGACCCCATATGGCAATGGTGTCGCTACAACCAATTACGGCCTTACCACTCACAATGGAGGACCCAATGGTCCAGTCCCCAGCTTGGCTGAGCGGTGCTTTGATTCCTTCTACCACCACTTCCATGCTGGGCACCCGTTCGTGTTGCCGCGGCAGTTCTTCCTGCAGTATACAAAGGAGAGCCGAAATAGCCTAGACCATCTCCAGGCGGCTATGAGATATGTAGGTTCTCTGTACATCGATGCCGGCCCCGCACGTGCCATGTACCTGGATGAAGCCGTTCGATTATGCTACCTGCCTAGTACGCCAAAAGACGGATTTCTGATACAGGCACTGTTATTACTTGTGGTCACTCTCGATGGCAGCTGCGAACAAGAAAAGGCCAGAGGCTTTCTGGCCGATTGTGAACGGATATCTATTGAGATAGCTCTCAACAGTCGCGACTTTGCCATTGTCAATGGACAAGGTAACCCCATTCTCGAAGAGAGCTGGAGACGCACTTGGTGGGACCTTTACGTGTGCGATGGTATGGTGGCTGGTGTACACCGAGTCACCAACTTCCTACTTTTTGATGTTGCTGCCGACGTTGCTCTTCCATGTGAAGAACACCAGTACCTCACAGGCGTAAGTTGTTCTCACACCACCTCCTCGGGCGCGAGACGCTAATATGAGCAGCAAATCCCACAACCAATGTACCTGGAAGACTTTGATGATCAGATCTTCACAGGTGAAGATCGTCCGTTCTCGTCATTCACGTACAGGATAGCAGCCGCCAGGAACTTGGGCCGCTTCATGAGAACCCCTCCTATCTTGTTCCCAGAAGATGAGAACATGGATAAGATCGAGTCGCTCCTCACAAATTGGAAGCTCCACTTGCCTGCCACCAAACAAGACTCTCTCAACAAGGACTGTCGACTTGACGAGATGATGTTCCAGGCTCACTTCATAACCCATGCGTGAGTTATATCACTGTATAATACAGAGAAGGCCTCACGTCCCGCTAACATTGAGATAGGTGCACAATCATGCTACACCAGCCCCACTCACAGCTGGACGCATCTCCCGCGCGATCGGTAACTTCGTGTGCCCCGTATCGCCCCGTGCCCTCTGGCGATGTATTCAACACCCATACGCGGCACACCATCACGGCAGCTTGCGAGATCTCAAAGATGATCACGCACGCCGTGCCCCTCCTGTCGCACACGCACTTCTTCACCTGTGTCATCACCATGTCGTCCATAGTCCACCTGTCTAAGTGGGCGCTCTACTTCATTCAGGACGAGGAGGACCTGCGCCAGCAGATCCGCTTGAACATCGGCGCGCTGAACAAGCTTAGCGCTGTATGGAAGGCTGCCAACACGGCATCCGGCCAGGTCAAGGGCGTCGCGCAGGAAATCTACAGGGCCAAAAAGGCACAGCAGATCAACCCGGCCTTCTGGGTGGGCTTCACTCAGGAGGAGATGATCAGCAGCTTGAATGCCGATGAGGGCATCATGAGCGAGATCGACACTTTGTTGACTCAGGTCACGCAAGCTCCATGATGAGGTCTCGGGAGGCATCAAGAGGCAGAGGGGCAAAAAGAAGCCCGACAACTTAGACAGTCCTTACCTAGACAGATTCAACTTCTGCTATATCTCCGGTGTTTTTCTTTTTGGGCTAAGAGAGGTAAAACGGCAGGATATCTGGATCTGAGTACAGTATAGACAGGGAGGTTCTACATACTGATTCGGCTTAGAATGGTCCGGCTGGGAGAGGGGGGCTCTAATGATGAATGGCGATGAACGACGTTTGATGATATATCTTGGGATGCAAAGATTTGGAATTTTGACCTTAGAGCTAGCAATAGGCGTGCTGTTACTCCACTCCGAGAGCGCCTGATGATAATCCAGCAGCGGATCCTTTCCTCCTAACAACTTGATATTTGCCCAGTTGACTTTGCAAAGGAGGTATGCATCCCGCCTCTGAGACAAGATTTGTGCCTCGGGCTTCCCACCTATGCCTGGCAGCCGCCCCCAACCTTCTAGAAAGTGTGGAGTTTTGAGGCTAGGCTGATCAGTTGCTCTTCACGGTGTAGTCTCGAGGTGGAATTGATGCACTCCTAGACCCTGCCATAAGTTTTGGAATAGGAAGACTGTGACATCGGAAATTTCAAGATAGCCAACAAGTCCGTCCTGAAGTACGGATTACCGTGAAACCGTCTCCCCATCGACCTGCCCTATGCGCCTCATTTGGCGATTAAACACCGACATGGGTTCTAATTTTGACGCACTAGCTGGGTAGTTTGGAGGATCTTTTCCTGGACTCTCTTGATAGCGATAATAGGTTGTGGGGAAAACCTTAAGCCCCTCAAGTCTTTTGGCTGGCAAAACCACTTGGCGAAACTCTCCGGATTGCAAAGCTGTAACATGGGGTTTCATGGAGGTAGCATACACATGGTTGTAATTTGAACAGTTTCGATTATAGAGAATGGAAGTATGTACAGTCATGAGTGTTAGCCGTCTCGACGACCGGAAGTGAGGTTCTTGTGTACAGATGTCGTCCAAATCGTGAAGCCCAGTCCCAAATCCAGAACTCCTCGCCAGATCCCAGGACGTGTAATTAGCAATCCATCGCCTCGCCGGCGGCCATATACCAATGGAAAGTCAGATATTCAGTTGCTGTTTTTGCAACATCCTGCAGCTCTTTAAGTCGCTGGATTTTGTCGCCTCATCCCTAACATGCGACGGATGCAACCCCGATGGGGTTCACATCTCGTCCGCTTCAACGGCAGCATACCACTGTGGGCTGACGTTCGGCTTGCCAATCTCGCTCTTCAACCAGCAGGTTTTGGTGCCGTAGTAATCGCCCCAGCCGACGGCTGCGCAGCCGCTCTGGTTTGCGCATCTCTCGATGCATCCGGTCATGGTGTCGATGTCCTCGGAGAACATGTCCACGGCACCGTCGCCGTTCTGGCTGCTGTAATCCCGGCCACAGAGCATCAAGAACTTGCGAGTCGAGTCGTCCTGCAGCGTGTAAAGAGTCTGGTTGGCGTCTGGACAGTTGATCTCGACTTCCGGTCCGAGCGTCGCCGCCGCTGTGGCTGCTGGCAGGCCGTTTGTGGGCGTGCCACTTACCGGCACCGTCTGAGTAGCGTTGCTGTGAGACATATTAGCAGGGAGCCATTGCGATGGTAAAACGTCTTTGAAAAGGCAGCAGCGGGAGGAGCCGCAGATCATTAGGCTATTGCGCGCCTATTGCGCGCTTGAAATGCGAGGAATGCCGCAGACAAGGGGAGGCTCTTACGCTGGTGTAGAATCGTCGCCATTGTTCCGGGTCGCGATTCCCACGCCGACACCAATTGCGATTGCTGCCACTATCGCGAAGACCCCGATCGCAACGACCGCCCAAAAGACCTGCTTCCTAAGCCCGCATATCCTGCCAGCGACGGGTGGCTTCTCTGGCAGCGTAGGATCATAGCTCCCGTGGTTCATATAATCGGGTGAGAGCCCACTGTACGCTGTGCCTGGGCTGGTCCCATCATAGCCGCCATAGTTGTTGTAGTTGTTGTAGACTGGAAGTGCTGGATTCGACTTGTATGGGTCGTCTCTTGATTGCAGGAGGGGTTCTGGGAGAGGACTCGGCTGCTCCCATGTCTTGTTCTGCGAAAGGCCTTGCCGCGGCTCGGCCACTTCGAGTCCAGTTTCTACCACTTGCAGTCCCGAGAAATCATCCTGATTGTGCGGTTTCGGCTGGGACTCCGCCATCTTGGTGGCACCTGATCTTGCTTGCTTTCCCTTCTCCAATCTCGTTTCTATTCACCGTCGGAACTTGAGTCTCACTGTATGCTTTGAATGCGAAATCATGTATCGCAGCAATCAGCCGAGGAAGAGGGTGGAGGTGAGAAGAAGAGGAGCGGCATTCGACTGAGAAGGACCGAAACCAAGATGTCTGTCTTCCTATACCTCCTATAGAAAACTGGGCTAATTGCAACGTCAGGAGACTGGAAGGGCTGGATCACTGCAGCGCAGCAGGTATGACATGGGCTACCGGCAGGAAAGGTAAGAGAAAGCGAAGGCAAAAAGGTATTTAGGACAGACAAATGCAACGCTCGACTTCTTAGTCAACGGCTGACAGGCGAACTACTGTACTCCAGCTACAGTCCTAGACTCTTAGTACCGGAGCGGCCCCGTAGTGTACAGACTAACATTAAGCTTGATCAGCCACGAAATTCCCTCGACCGCTACCCGGACCGATGTACAGTAACCATCTATCTACGATACGCCAGATCACGGGGAGTATTCGATAATGGCCTACTGCACAGCAAGTCTTTCTGATCCCGATGCTTCCTGCGCCAAGCCTCATTTTTGCCATGCCATTGGGGCCCCGGGAACAGGTGAGAGTGAGGAGAGTGAGATTTTGGTCTCTTACGAGTGTCGCCTTCCCACTCGCCCGCCCACACTCTCGCCTCTTTGGGGGCTGCCAGACCGTGTTTGGCATGCCTTTTGGTGGCAGACATGAGCGAAAAAGAGCGGGTAAAGTGCAACGGGCAGGCCAGACCATCTATCATAAGGGGGGGTAGGGGGTCCCCGGGTCGCTGTACCGGGAATTAGCATTGGAGATGGTCCAGGCCAATGGTGGTGATGATCTGCATCCCATTGCAACCCATGCTGACCGACCGCCGACGTGGGCCTGCACGATCTTGTCTTGTCCTCAACCCAAGCTTTGCGTGTGTTGCTTGTCATGCTGCGGGTGATGGATGATGCCTTGGCCCTAGGTGGGCCAGCCTTTGCCCAAGGAGTTGCGTCAGATTATATCAGCTCTTGGGTGAGACTCCTTTTGCTTTTCGCTCTTGTGTCACCACGACTTCTCAGGTTCCGAGAGTTGGCAGAGATTCAATCAACCAAGGTCCAGGGTTGACCTGTAATATTGGATGACTTCTGCCTACCGTACAGTACCTATCCTACTATGCAGCATGTGGTGCAACGAAGCGGCTGCGCACGGCGGAACGGCGGAGGAGGGGGGAATCTCGCCGACGCCACAGGGGTTCAGCATTCGTCCAGCGACTCGAGGTCCGGGTCTTGGCCACCGTTGGGTGGATGGGTTCTTCGGACGAGATGCCGTCAACAGCGTCCAGCCAATGCCACCGCATTGCTTGTGCAGACAAAGATCGCGCCTCTACTGTAGACAGCCGCCGATCTCCCGTTGTGGGAATGACGAACCTTGCCAAGCGTAGCATGACCGTCAGTCATCTTTTGAACGGTTTGATGAAAGAATAATGCCCTTTTCTTGGTCAACAGGTATTCGTACAATCCAAGTGTCCATTGACTGACCGAGTTGCCTAGCTGAAGTCGCAAACTCGTAAACAGGTGAGCATGTTGGGATTGTCAACCAGGGAGGCCACTCTGGAGGTGTTATTCGTCGCTAAACGAAGCCAATTATTGGTCCAGCAACTCACCCGGGCGGCCGCTCATTAAAGTGAGTTTTGATACGGCACAGCTCAGGTCGGCGATGAGAACTCATTGTTTTGTAGCTCGCCAACTCATTCTGCTTCCGGCTTGTTTGCAACATGTCTTACCCAATAAAGACAACCATGCAGAGGACTAATTACCTTCTAATTCGTGCACTACCTTAGAACTATACACTATACTTCAAGGTTCAGCCCTAAGACCCTGGCTAGCAGGTGGACTACCATGCTTATTATGCCTCCAAGTCCAGCCCTACCTACCATTGAAGTATTTTCTTTCTCTGCCATGATACGCTCTCCTGATCAAAGACCTCTCGCTTCTTGTAAATGCAGGTCGACGACCGACTCTTCAATGCTCAATTTGTCTATTGCGCCGCCTTCCAACAACAAAGCTTAACTCCATAGTAAATAGTTATCAAGTTCCCACAGTAAATTGCATCATCTGGATGATCAGTTCTCAGTCCAAGGCATTGGAGCCTCACCAAGACGAAGTGCATGACGGGGAACATGGTCAGCCCCGTGAGGTATCATGAAACATTTGAAAAGGATCCTTGTTGCTTGGTAGGTTTCTTTCATCGACAGATGGTTTACTACAGATGGCACTGAAGAAACAACATAACAAGAACCGTGAGCATCCGACTCATATGTCTATATGCAAAGAGCGGGAAAAGGTCATTAAAACATTAGAATATACAGGCACCGAGTCCACTGGAACTCAGGTAATTCTTACCAAGTTGCATGCCAGAGTACTCAGTCAGGATCCTGTAGATGGTACTAGATAAGGTTGGCATTCGCTGTATGCTGGTAGTGGCCGACAGAAGGAAGGTGGGACCGTCCTTTGTGACGCACCTGCCCACCGTCCACTAATTAAAGTAGTCAGACCCATGCCCCTCGTTAATCGCGTCTGAACTACCTCAAACCGCGTCAAGTCCACCGCCCAGCATGCAACACTTCAGATGACAATGCAGCAACAATGTCGACGCTGTCGCCACTCTCGACTCTAACGTCGCCGACTCCTTCGTGGCATACAGCCACCGCAGGCTCTCCCGCCAGCAACATAGAAGAAGGGACAACCCCCAGTAGTCCTGGCGACCCTGTACCGTCGCCATCTTATCGCGACGCGAGGCTGCTGCCCCGCGAGTTGAAGGAGCACTGCCAAATCTATCTCGAAGAGCAACTCTGTAAGACATTTCATGTGTTAGCAACTCGAAGGATGAACACTAACATGGCCGTCAGATGGTGCCGCCATCGATCTACTCAACAGCCTGCTCTGTGCCGGCCATTCACAACCATATGCGCCTACAAAGGCTGCCTTGGTTCCTCCTCCCCGACAGATAGCACTCCTTGCAACTCTCGCCATACATCCCACACATACTTCGCGCATACCAGCTCATGGCAGCCATGAAGTTTCCTTAAAAGCACTCGCTTACTTGCGAAGTCTGCTCGCCATAGTCGGCCCTGTCAGAGCCAACCTTTGCGAAGCTTTCATGTTCCGTGAGCGCCGCAGCCGCCATAGCAACAGCCTTGACGACGCGGACACCGAAGAAGAGGACAGCGACGAGGACCACATAAGAGGCTATCTAGCAAACCATAGCAGTGTGTGGTCGCGCGGCCAGGATTTCTGGAAGATTTTGGGTTGGGCTTTCAACTGCAGCGCCGCACATCCACATCGGTGGAGGTATTGGCAGCCTTGGCTCGATTATTTAGTTGACACTCTCGACGTCGACTATGAGGAGAGGAAACGTCTCGACTTTGCGGCTCATGCTATAACTGATGGGAGCCAGGCGTGCGATTACAGGTACTTACAGGAGTCACTCCTGCTTTCGTATGTGGCACCGAAAAACGCCCGCTCCAACCCGATCAAACCCATCATGAGCGCCATCTTTGCGGATGCTAGCGATTCTTCCCTCGCCCTGTTCAAAGAGGTTTTCGAAAAGGAGCGCAAGGGTCTATCGAAGAACAATAAGAAGAGGAAGAGAGAGCAGTTGGACCTCGAGAATGACAAGTTCGGCGACTATTATGACGAAGACTCGTTGTCGTCGTCAGGCGGTTCTGAACCGCCTACCCCACAAAAGGCTGGGAGGTTAGCAGAGATAGAAGACGACGCCGCAAGTTGGACAAACTCTTGTCTATCAGAATCAGTCCAACTCCGCCTACGTATATTTAGTCTGGTAAGGGTCTTAACCGTTCTCGTGCATTTTTATTTCTCAATACTGACTGTAGGGCAGCTGTCTAAGGCATGCTATGAATGCCCGGGTCTGCTAGTGATCAACCTAGACGATTTGTACATCGACTTTGCAAGAAGGATCAAAGAGCTCCCGCTTTCAGCATTTTCCCTGTTCATCTCTTCTCAGGCGACTCCGCTCGTGAGAGACGCATACGTATCTCTGCTTCGGGCGGTCATACCAAGCTTCATGCCGTCATCCTCACCTGATCCCTGGAAAATCGACCCTGAGACGGACAAGATAAATGGCCTTTCCGTGCAGATCATGGAGAAGTGCTTCCTCCCCTTCGCCGCCAACGTTGTGGGAGCAGAGGCCAACGCTAAGTTGTCTCTGCTTCTGGAGGCGATGCTACGTGGGCTATGGGCTTATGGAGACATCCCATATAGCAGATCCCTCGCAAAGGCGGTAGAAAAGGGCATTCAGGCACGGAATGAGAAGGCCAAGAAGAAGGGGGCTCGCGGGAAAGGCGATGTTGGTGACAAGGCCGCACTAGATATCCTCTCGGCCTCCAGTAGGCGACTATCCCTTCTAATGGACGTGATTGAAGCGGAGAGCATGGATGATGACTAGATCGGCAGTGTTGCGTCAATGCGGCACATCTGGCACAATCGGATCGTTTTTTTGAAGAGCAAGTTATACTCGGGGTTTTCTGCATTCACCAGGAACGGCGGTAGCCCTGGATGATGGTAGCATGGCGTCTTGGGTGTTTAGGGCGGCACTGGATATTACAGCGTTATGATTCAAATGATGATTCACACGGGAGTTTCGGCTTGAAGAGCCTCGACATGGTAGGCGGAAATCGTGTATACTCGAATTACATTGTATATTACATGTATGTACGTGTTAGCGTTTTGAAGATGACGCAGGAGTCCAGGCCTTTGGCTGCCAGCCTTCACTAGGACCTTTATGCCGCTTCCAGGGGTCGTCTTTTTCTTGACTTTGTGTCGCTCTTCTTTGTGCTGGCTCTTGGGATTCGATTCGACTGCTTCGCGAAGCCTGCTGGTCCGCCTGAGGTTGTACCTCATCCGGGTCTGGCCTCGGATTTGGCGAAGCTTTTGATGCTGGCCGATCTGTTTCGAGCGGCGGCAGAGGTTGCCCCCTCACCTCTCCCGGTGCATCAATATAGCTCGGCTTCGCCTCCCAGCGGGCGTCCGCTTGTGCCGCGAGCATTTTGATCTGCTCCTGCCTGACGACGTCCTGCCGCTGCTCCTGCAATGACGGCGGAGCATCCCGAATGTGCCGTAACCATTGATGCCATTGTGGCGAGACCTTCACGTCGCCATAGTGTACATTAGACGGGTATTTAACAATACGACGCCATCGCCCTGGAGCGTCGTCTCCTCGTACGTCGCGGAACTCCCAGTATGTGTTACCGTGGAGATCGAGGCCTTGAGCTTGTCAGTGCCGAGTACTGTAGCCTCGGGGAATTGGTATCTACTTACCAACTAAGAAACGCTTGCGCCACGGTAAACGCAGCGCTTTCCAGTTATACCATGCTTTGAGGATCGGTGATATTGGTTTCGAGGACATCTGCAATCAACTGGCAATCCTACATAAGGAACAAGCGTGGGGATCGTTAGGAGTCTTGCAGTTGTCTTTGTTGAAACACCGCCACCTAAATTTTGAAGCCTGCCTTTCTTCTATCAGCGCTTGCGCCACAAAATGTAGCCTTGCAGCCCAACCTAACAGACTAACAAGCATTCCCGACCACCCACCACCACACGTCACTTGTGTGTGGCTTGTGTTCTCTGCGGGGCTAATAACTTCACTGGTATTATGTTTATGCGCCGACCTGATCATCGCTCCCTGTCGCCGTCTACTTTCTTTCCCTAGAATCTGACTCCTAGATTGATTTCATACAGTAAACCACGCCTTTGTCGCTATTTGCAGTCTTGCTCCTACAAGGTGTCTCAGGTCGCGAGCATTTCAGCCGCGACCACTTCTACGTCACTTGTCATCCTGCACGATCGGTCCTCTTTGACATCTACCTAATCATTAGCACATTCCGCACCTCCCGAGCCGCGTCATACCTCGCACGCCAGAGGCGCCTTATCGATTGTCCCCAAACACCAAACAAACATCACAGAAGTCGGATTTATTGTCGCAAACGCTGGAGCAAGAAGGCTAGAGTCAAGCACACACAATGGCTTCCGTTTCGTCCTTAGACAAGGACTTGCGCAAAATGCGCCTCGACAAGTACACCCCAGCCGCCGCGAACGAGGCGCGATCATGGATCGAAGGCATATTGGGCGAGCGACTACCTTCGGGCGACCTGTTAGAGTCGCTCAAGGATGGTGTTGCGCTCTGCAAGTAAGAGAACTATCTCATCCCATTCTTTTTCATACTTGGGGACTAATCCGTTGTTGTAGGCTCATCAACCTCGCCATACCGCCGCCGGGGATCAAGTACAAGCAGTCTGCCATGCCATTCGTACAGATGGAGAATATTTCACACTTTCTTCGCGCTTGCAAAGCGCCACCGCTGAACCTCCAGGAGCACGATGTTTTCTTGACCGTTGACCTCTACGAGTCCAAAGACCCAGCTCAAGTGCTGCAGTGCCTGGGTGCCTTCAGCCGGGCTGCGAACAGTGTCAACCCGTCCAACTTTCCGTCAGCCATTGGGCCACGATCAAGTCGCAGCGGTGTTATGAGCCCCCAGAGCACAGGTCCTTCGACTCCGACTGGCCCAGGTGCGGCGCGTGGGCGAGGGATCTCCAACGCCAGCAACACATCGTCTATATACGGCACGCGGCAGCCATTGGTCGCATCCAAGACTGGTGATTCGGGATCTGGTCGCTGGAGCCCTACTAAAAGCCCTACGCAGAACGGATCGAAATCGCCATCAGTCAGCAGCTGGAGCAGGAGGGAGCACGAAGGCGCCACCTCGCCAGCATGGAACATCGCCCAGTATGGGTATATGGGTGGCGCAAGTCAAGGTAACCTCGGAATTGCTTTCGGTGGACGACGACAGATCACTAGTGCTGGTCCTCACGTCCCTAACCTGGCGGAGAAGGAGCGCCTCCGGAAGGAAAAGGCAGCAGAGGAGGAGAGACAACGACAGCAAATGGAGGAGGAGGAAGCTCGGCGGAGGGCAGAACTAGAGGCCGAGGAAGAGCGAGCACGGCTTGAAGAGGAGAGACGGTGGGAAGAGGAGACGAGGAAATTGCGCGAAGAGGAGAAACGCAAGGCTGAGGAAGAGCAGCGTAGGTGGGAAGAGGAAGAGCGCCAGTGGAAGATTACAGAAGAGAATAGGCGTAAGGAGGAGCAGGAGGCTGAGGCGCGACTCGCACAAGAGCGCTCACGGTCTAGAAGCAAGAGTGACGCTCGCCTGCGCGGCCAGTTCCTGAGCCAATATCAAGCTGAGCAAGGAGATTCGCCAAATCCTACAGGAGAAAACGGAGAGTACAGCAGCCGTATCAAAGAGCTTGAGAAGGAGTTGGAACTTGCCCGTCAAAGGGAGGCTGATTACGAGCGGGAACGCCAAGAGCGTTCAAGAAAGCCCGTCGAGTCCAAGTCGAGGGCGCGCTCACGCAGCCGTCCTGCTAGACCACCAAGCAGACAGGATTCCTGGAGCAGGGATGAGCGTGAGTTCCTTCGGACTCAGCATCAACAATACCAACAACCGTCTGTTGAGGCGGCCCCACCGCCTCTTCCACGGCCACTCCCTGATCCTGCTATGGCAGCTGCTCCAGCAAAGGTCAAGACACATCGGACGGGCGAGTCGACGCCGAAAGTGAAGAGCCATAATACGGGCGGTTCACGACCGCTACCAGACCCGTCCGCTTACGCATCACCCCCACAGCCTTCATCTTCGCCGAACATGAACCGCTCGTTTGCGTCACCACCTCAGGCATCAGTTTCACCAAACATGAACCGGACGGAGCGCTATCTAGCCTCAAACCCGGCCCCAGTACAAAAGGCTCCTCCGCCGACATATTCCCGTGAGCTTGGTGCTACCGCTGAACGGGATGCCGAGGATCGTCGCCGAGCACAGTCACAGCAGAACACCAAGGCGGGCGGCTGGGCCTCGAAGTCTTTGCTCGAGCGTGAGATGGAAATGGAGCGCCAAAGGCAGCGTGAATGGGAGGAGTCTCAGAAGGAGACTGCCAAGGCTGTGCGAAGTGGCGACGGCGTTGATGGCATCGGCGGTGGCGTAGGCGGGCGATGGGATGTGGGCCAGTGGTCTGGTTACACTGGAGGTGACAGCCAGAATAAGGGTGGGCAAGGAATAGGTGCTGGTCGACGGCAGATAGTAGGTCCTCGACCTCTGCCGGGCTCGGGCCGTTGATCCTCTAATATGAGGTTATTTGGCGAGGCGTTCCGGTGATTTGGCTCTTTGACACCATTGCATCGTCAATGCAACTGGGGCTACATTGTTTTTCACGAGTCCGAACGAAGTCTGCTCTGAGTGATGTTAATACGATTGAGAATAGACAATACTATTGACCATAAGGCCATACGATGGAGTAAACTAATCTTACTCCAGAATAAAGTGAATGTCATACGAAGCAAAAATTGATGAGACCCGATTGATCAGAGGAAAGTTGAACCAAGAGATATGACAAGCTTGAAGCAAAGTTCTCACTTGGCATTGCTTTCCATGATACTAGGATCTACATGATGGATACAACCCGCACTGGAGAGCCCCCTATGAAGATTTGCCAATCGACGTAGTCGTTCTTAACACATGCTTCAATGTGTTGGCTCATCAGCTTTCTATCCACGAACCAGGCATGACTGTCTTCTTTTTCCAATTCTTGAATCCATCCCGCTTGGCTATCTTCTTCGCTTGTCGCCGATCGAATCTAGCCATTGCGAGATTGGCTGCTACTTGGTACGATGGTTGGTGTCGCCAGTTGGCTCGAATCGATGTCATGACGAAGGGGAAATTCCACTCCGGGTAGCACACCCTTTTCCATTGGGAGTGATGTGCTGCTGCATCGGCCTGAAATGTGTACCACCTGAAAGCGCCTGGCCCAAAATTCTTGAACTCTTCCAAGACCTCATATGCCTCGCTTTCTCGGTTGATAGTCCATCTCCATGAAGGCACCTCGGTGCCTTCAACACTAATCATTTCAATCATCTTTTCAGAGCGATAGTTCTCCCACGAATAGGTAGACAACTTGATCCCTAAGCGTGTTTCATGCTCGATGTATGTTGGGATACAAATTCCGCAAAATCGCATTATGCAAAGCCATCTGCGCAACAGTAAGTAAGAGGTAGCCGGTGAAAAAGACTAGGAATATATGGCATGATAGTAAGACGAAGTAGTCGGGTAAAAGAGCAAAGCTTTGAGTAAGGATGTCAGAAAATGCAAATCCAACTTACCGTTGGATATCTTGGACTATGCGGAACGGGCAAGATTGCTGTTGTAATATCTGTTCGTACGCGGAACCCTTTCTGAAATTATGCAGTTTCTGATGTACATCTGCTCCGTTTTGAATCAGAGTCTTGAACAACCCAAGCCATTCGGGAGAAACGCATGTTATATCGTTGCAATCCCGAAGCTCCGAGTAGTCAGGTTGAAGCTCCACATATTTGCGCATGGCTTCCTCCCATGCAAGTGCGATCAGGTCATCAACATCATCTGTCCAGTTAGAGAGAAATAGCCTAAAGAAGAATTCGTGGTCCCCGGGACTTATAGGTATCAAATTCCTGTGTATTAGTCGAAATTCTTCCAAGCCCAGGTCGGACTTGTGTGAGAGGAATATTTCCACCGCCCGTCGATGTCTATGTTGTAATACATCTGCAGATCCCACAGAATAGCGCAGTCTCTCCGGTGTTCTGATTCATTCCGTCAGCGCTTTCGTGATGACTTAAAGAACTATCAACCGTACTCTTCTATTAATCTGTAACGAGTGTCATGATCAATCAGAAATTGACAGAAGTCGGAACGACCATAAGCAAGTGCCAGCTACAGATATTAGTATGAATCGTGCCAGTGTTTTTCCTTTCACTTACATAAAACAATGACCTATCGCCGCATTTGCTGTAAAACGATAATTGCCCACCAGTCAGAAGTTCTTGAAGATGTTGCAATGTGCCACAATCATATATGGATGTGACTTTGTTGTACAGTCTGCTGTATTCTGGAATGATATGAGTTACGTTAAGTGAAAAATGTAAGGGAGTGTATCTCGTCCATATATGGTGTAGGTCAAGCTTGTAGGGGAGCCAGGGAAACATGTATGATGTTGTGCTCGTCTCGTTAAGTAGAGTATCTTCGCAGCCATCAGGGCTTTTAACAAGTCTTTTGGTCCTTTTGAAAACAACACGTCCAAATGTACCGGAGTAATAGATAACATTATGGTCATTTCTCTTGATTCTTTTCTGGCCGATTTTGGAGTCGATAGCAGATGACGAAGTACTGGGATCTGAGCTCGCTGCAGAGTCAGGAAGAATTATTTGACTATGACAGTTGTTACTCGGTTCTATGGCCATTGTTTTATGGTCATCCAACGCGAGCCTCGATACCCTAGGCCCTGTCAGCTTCTTTTACCAAGTCGAAAGCGCCACACACTTACCACACATCAACTTGTAGACTATGATTGAGCATCATCAAGAGAGAGTCGAGATCTCGAGCCATTTCTGCAATTCTAGGCCTCTGCAAAACGAAACGCATGCGTGTTAGGGTCGAAACACCTTGCATCTCGCCTATCAACGTGTTGATTTCCTTCAGCTTAGTCCGACATTGAGCGAGTGCCGATACTATGAGTTCGGCAATCCGCACATCAACGGAGACTTGAAGTCCCTTTCGTTTGGTTAAGTTGTCTTCAGTAATCTTGCAGATTCTTTCTAGGCAGTCCAGCCTGTGTGCCAAATCACTCAGCTCCTTATGCGCCTTTTTGTATATTGAAATTGCAGCCTTTGCCTTTGACGCGAGGGTAGCCACCTCAATGAGCAGCGGTACAACCCCTGCTAAGCCTAGTCCCAAAGACACTGGGTCCATGATGTGCCCAAAGCAAAACCTCGAAAAATGTTTGCGGACAAAATCTAAGAAAATGATGCTTCGATCTGTAATAGATGTCGTTGATTGAAATCCCGTTCACCTGGGATTATTCAGATGTCGCATGGACAACGACACAGCCTCGTGGGCGCCTAATTTGCTCATGTGATTTGACCATGCATCAAACTTCCTCCTCCTGTTTCAATCCCAACTCGAGAGATGGATCATGGCCAATGGCTGAACAGTTCTGGACACAAAATCATACACACATCTTGTACACTCGGTGTGCATCCCATTAAATCATGCTAGACTGCAGCTAACATTAGGAAAGTTCGTAATTTCCTAAGTTTCGCGATCCTGTGAGGTAACAATCAATTGAGCGCTTTGAATAGCCCTCTAATTAAGTCTATGGATCAATATCTATTCGGGCAGGTGCGAATATTTATTTCCTAATAAGGGCTTCGACACCGCTCTCGAAACTCATATTTCAATTTCATGTGCTATTGATGTAAAGCTCTGATCAACTACAAGCGTATTCATGTCTTTCAAGGCAGGCACCCAGAATCGAAAGCTTGCAATTTCATTTGATTCCTAAAATGGTTTCTCGACACTAACAGCAACTTAACTACATCAATTTTACTGCGGCCTGGACGAAGGCGAGGCCTTCAGTGTTTCGCAAACAAACCTGGGTTGGCCTTCACACTTTTGGTAATCCGAACGGCTCACCAGTTTATCTGCCTTCCCGGTGTCCAGTTATAAGCTGTGGATATATCATCAAGATCTGTCAACAGCATGATGGCGTCCAATTCAGGGATGATCAGAATTGGACTGGATGAGTGAGAGCTCAAGTGTCGAGGTCCGAGAAACTAGTGGTCAAAAAACATGGCTTGGAATTGGCTATTTGGTTGAGCGAACTGGCCAGAATCTCGTTTATGTCTGTCAACACCACTTACAGATGGTCTTGAGAGGATCTATTTATTACAAGACACCGATTCAGTACTCGGCTCTAGGGCAGCATTGATTCCATCACCTCCTCGGCTGCGAGACTACATTGCACCAGTCAGAAGAGCAGAGCACTTCCCAGCAACAAGCGCTGCACAGAACAGGCGCGATATCACTTCACCCGTCATGAGAGCTGTGTTGGCCATTTAGCCTAAACATCCTCCTCTATCGTGTGGCTCAACGGGCGGCTTCTCCACCACCTCGAACCGGGACGGCGGGGCTTCCCCCAAGTGCCAAGGTCTGTTGCCAATGCCCGAATTCATTTGTACCTGGCATGGCCCATGCAAGTGTTGATTGCCTCAATCTGGGGCCGGACAATCAATCACCGGGCCTTTCAACCTAGCGTTGGAGGCTAGTGGTGAGCCTTCCTCAATCCCCGTTGGGCCATGACACCTTCTCCTCACCTTCTCCAACTCGGTTCTGCGGAGTAGTAACGGCATCAGACTCCTCCGACTGCAGGTTCGTCATGCAGACATGCCGTCATGTAGTATTAATAAGGACGAGAGGGTGGAGGTAGCCCGACATGCCTGGGTGCTCGTCTTCATTCCTTGGCTTTCGCTCGTCAACTGGCCTTTCATCATGGCTATCCTTCTTGGAGTAGTGGCTATTTTTGTAGCGATTGTTGCTTCTGCGCCCTCTCCTCAGAGTCTGAAGTCTGACGTGACTCTTTTGATCAATAATGATCTTCAAGGTATGGCAAGCACAGAAGTCTGATGAGACACTCATAACTAAGACTGTATAAAGGGCCGAATAGTCCATCTGCAGACTCTGGGGTGTTGCTCCTCAGTCGTCGGTCTCAGGCGGATGCAAGTGCTGCATGTGAAGCTCTTGGGGAGCAACTCTGGAGTCCGGAGTTGAAGACATCGAGCATCCAGCCTAACCTCGATTATCTCGTCTACCAAGGCAGAGCAGAAAGGACTACACAATTCTGGATAGCCACTCTTGGTGAAGAGCCAAGGGTCATCAGTGCTAGCGGCCATGTCTCGCCTGCCAGTTCAAAACTCAATCTGCCCGTGCTCTGTACGCAATCGGCACCGTACTCGAACGACTCTATGGCGGATACGACTGCTAAGTGGCAGGTTGCGGTTCATTCTAATAATGAGGATCTGACGGGCTTTCGTGACCGGCTGAGTTTCCGATTCCTCGGCATCCGCTATGCACCCCAGCCCGAACGCTTCACATATTCTGTACCTTACACAGGTTCGGGTGGCTCAGTTGATGCTACTCAGTTCGCCTCTCAGTGCATGCAGGGTTCGGGATCAGGCTCAGAGGATTGTTTGTTCTTAAATGTCTGGACCTCTTATCTACCAAAACGAGGATGCAAGCCTAAAAAGTCCACTTTGAAGCCAGTCATGTTCTGGATTCATGGTGGTGCTTTCACAGGAGGCACAGGCGCGGATTCAACGTTTGACGGTGGCAATATCGTCTCTCGAGGAGATGTAGTCCTTGTAGCGATCAACTACAGACTAACCACGCTCGGCTTCCTTGCGCTCGACGATGGTGTCACTAATGGTAATTTTGGCTTTGCTGACCAGATCAATGCCTTGGATTGGGTCCGAGCTCACATACAAGATTTCGGTGGTGATCCTGACAGGATCACCACTTTGGGTCAATCCGCTGGAGCAGGCTCTGTTCGTGCGATGATGGCGTCTCCTAAAGCAGTGGGAAAGTTTGCCGGTGCCATACCCCTGAGTAACCTGGGCGGTATCAACTACGGCACGACCTATTCAAAGTACTATACCATCAAGGAAGAGATCGATGTGGCGGCTAATGCAATCCTCACCGCCACCAACTGTACAAAGGCTGCGTCTCAAGTCGGCTGTCTCCGCGCTTTGCCTGCTTCCACAATTCTAAATGCCGGCACTGTGGCCCGTTTTATCGTCGTGGATGGCACTTACATCACCTCTGACGAGCTTCAGCTCGACGGCCCTAAACTGCCGTTTAACCTAATGATGGGTCTTATGCGTGATGATGGTGCTCCGTTCATCAGCTACCCAACCACAACAAATGAGTCGGCATATCTCTCGTCTGCGGGTTTCAGTATCCCGCCGCCGGATTTGTTTCCCATTCCTGATGGAGCAAATCAAACACTAAACCTGTACAACATGTCATCGCGCCTTGCTACAGATGGTATCTTTAGATGTATTGATCAAGCAACCGTCTACACTGGCCTACAGAATGGCCGATTCGGACCTGTATACTACTATGAATTCGACAGATCATATCAAACGCTCGGATGGCCAGGGACAGATGTGTGCAACCCACCGAAAACAGCTTCACATCCATACGGAGACCCGAGCCTGCCATATTTCAAGTGTCATTCCGGCGAGTTATACTATGTTTTCGGAAACTTGGCACGGCAGGGTCTGCCTATGAGAGATGAAAACGACTTGCCGTTTGAGCAATTTGCCCTGGACTCCTTTTCCTCTTTTGCAAGGACCTACAATCCCAATCCTGATCATGGTTTCTTGGTTGCACGTGGATATGTCAATACAATCAAGGAGTTGGAGACAGCTGGCGTGTGGGTTCCAGCCACCAGAGAGCAAATGACTATGAGAGTGCTCGAGTGGCCGAGCTACCAAGGTCCTTTCAGAGAGCTGCCACAGTGTGAAGCTATCGATTTACCGCTTACTTATTACGAGTAAATCGTTGAAATGCACGACCCTTGAACAGAGAAGATTATGAGTTAGAAAGCTTCAAAGAACACTGAAAATACAAGGCCAACCAGAGTAGTTATATGCACTCATACTTCATCTTATCTCTCCTCGTCTCGGTGCTGAAACCTTTGTAAAGCCTCGCCAAGGGTCTACAATACCGAAATATCGAGTTCAATGGGTTGTAGCTTCATTACACCTTGACTCCCACGACCCTGTGTCAACTTTGTTTGAAAGTCTTGGCTACAAACACAAGGCTTTAATCAAGCCACATACACGATCTTCAAAGAAAGATTAGCAAGAATGCCATGTCAAGTCACTGCAAATCGAATGTAGTATTCAAGATATGTGAGGCCCCGTCTATGAGTTTCGGACTGTACGGCCCAAATATACAGAGAAGTATCCGCTTTAATGACATCGCTCTGCCAGAACATTCACACCTCCAGCCCCTATCGTGACCGCGAACTGCGGCTTGGATCAAGGTCTTGCGGCTGAGCAAGAAGAAACGATTTCCCACAAAACATCAATTTTTTTCAGACCTTACTTCCTTTATTCTTGAAACAGAAAAAGGTCCCTGAATCCTTCGATCGACAACAAGCCTAGAGCTCTCTGCTATCACATTCCATCTCTAGCCTATCCTCTGAGATTATCCTACCCCTTCAGTCAGGTTCTGACAAGCAAGTAAGCTTCTTGCCGGATTCGAGTTTCTTTGAGTAAAGTGCTAAGTTTTCCCAGAATGTCGTTCACAGATGCCACCTCAGCCATCCTTATCTGGATGACAGTCAGCGGCATGCTGGCTGCCATCATGTGGATTTGGTATTGGCACCGATACGGCTTCTGTACCACCGTCCGCACGCGTATGCAGCGCGAAGTCACGCCGGTGGAGTTGGTGAACATGATGGACATCTTGAACGAACCCGCTCCAGCTCCTCCTCCTGCCGCGCATATCAGGCCTGATGCCCATCCGAACCGGCACAGCATGCCCGCCGCGTTCCTGACTGCCCATGGCATCGACGACGATTCGTCTGATAGCGGCCCTGACGTCCATCCCAATCGACACAGTATGCCTGCTACGTTCTTGACTACCCACGGCATCGACGATGATGCGTCTGGTGGTGTTGCCGCTGGCAGCAGTCCGGAGGCTGGCTCCTCAACACCGGCTGTTCCTCGTGCTCCCGAGTCTGCCGCCGGTCACGTCACCTCCGAGGAGGAGCAGGAGGCGCGGCCACAGTAAAGTGGTCATAGTGATGGGACCGGGGCGTGGACCAAGAACATGATGAGGACGACGATCACGACGACGGCGGCGGCAGAGATCGACGACGACGACGATACTGGTCGGCTCCCTTTGCTTCTTCCGACGATCGAGAGCCTCCTATGACAAGACCCTTATCAACAACTATCGACCCGAGCTATCACCTTATTCTCTTGGCCATGGAGTTTTGGTCATTCGAAGGCGTTGGCACGAAATGCCCTTCCCCCCCTTTTCCCCTTTACGGAAGATAGTCTCTTGCGCGGTACATATACCCACTTACATATCCACATGGCCGGCGTGCCACTTCGCTTATAGAACTTCGAGCCTACGGGCAATCAGAAACGTTCATCCGACAGAGCTTTTCTTTTCTAACTGAGTGTTGCTGGTTTACCGTGCTGACAATGTTGCAAATTGCAGAGCTCGATGTCCTGTCGCCCATCATGCAAATGATCATGGGAATGAGTCCTTGACTTACATGAGAGAAAGGGCCATGTCATATTGCTTCAAGAGAAGTGTCCATTCGTCTCATTATGCTGTCAAAATTGCCAAACAACCGAGTCACTAATACAAATGCGATGGTATACAGACAACCGCCAGCTCCGTGGCAAAACCCCTGCCAAATCCGCTTTCGAAACGCCGTTCTAGCCCTGCCAGACCGACCGCCCTTACTATACACAGGATTACAAAGTCAACTATACAAATGAAACGGCCCCGTGGCGGGCTCAATGAGTGTTCCGCACCACAGAGCTTTTCCCGTTCCTGCCATGGCCGTGCCGTTCCCAATCCCACTTCCGCCCGTCAAAGGACTTGAACCTCCCTGCGCCGAGAGCCTCTGTCACGGAGATGGGCTCCTCCATTGGTACAAGTTGTGGGTGTGAATAATATGGTAGAACGCTCTTGGAGCCCCTTTCTTTCTTCTGCGTGGAGGTGCCGTCCGTTGTCTTCTTCTGCTCCTTCAAAATCTCCCTCAGCTCCTTCTCATCAGCGGTGATTTGTGCTTTGATGAAACCCAAGTTCATGCCGCCGTTCGCCTCGTTGAGACTGGCCATGACCGGCACTCGAGGTGTATACTCGATGCCCTCAAGGTTTGGCGCATATTTCTCTGGAACCATGTTCGGATCGAGGTAAGCATCTTTGCCCTTGGCTAAGAGGGTCGCGATGTCGAGTGACTCGCCTGGTGCTATTGGAGTGCTGTGACTTGGCGTCACGCAGTCCATGTCGACTTCTTTCCGTAGGACGTGATCAATGTCGATAGCACTGAAGTAGGCACATGCCTGCGGAAGGTCATCGATGCCAACCTGCTGGGCGAACATGGCTCGAGTCCACAGATTCGCTACCTGCAGGGCCATTGCGGCACGATACTTGTCGTGGTCCTTGACTAGGTACCGAATCTCGTCATGCACCGTAATGGCGAGGCGGGCGTCGATATTGAAGCGTCGAGTGAGGTAGTCCATGCTCACGATCAAGAGGTGGAGATAATCGACCCCTGAGCTCTGGATGGCCCAGTTGATACGACTGGTCAGGTAGCCACCCTTGCTTATGAAACGACTCATCAACGCCTCAGTGATTCCGGCTCCTAAAACAGGGGTGCGGGGTCGTTCCTGCTCTGCAAACTCTTCAAGCTTGTTGAAGACGAAGGACTCTGTGCCACCACGCCAAAATGACCGATTGTGTAGTGCTTTCCGGTTGGTCTTGGCGCCCTTTGTGGCAGTATACAATTTGCCGGCAATGGCTAATGTTTCACGCTCCGATAAAGACGGGTTGAATTGGCGTAGTAATTGTGCCGCAAACTTCAGCCCGGCACCGTAGATACGGCCATAGTTGAACACCTTCGCATCGTTTCTGGTGATTCCTAAGATGGAGGCTGTCCGGGAGTGGAGATCTGTGCCGGCCGCCTTGGTGCCTTCCAATGTCATGAAGCCAATCGCATTGCCTCCGTGAAGCTTGAAGATGGCATCACCAATGACGCTGGCAATCCAGAGTTCTTCGGAGTCAACGTCTGCTCCGACAAAGCTATAGCCGGGCGGAGCTCTGACCATTGCCTTTAGCTCTGATCCAACCCGGTTCTTCTTAGCATTACTTGCTGTCAACCAGGTGTTCTCAACAGCTCTTCGGGTGACTGTGCCCATTGGTATTACTTGTGGAAGAATATAGCCTTGGATTTGGCCCCCTTTCTTCTTCGACTTCTTCGAGCTAGCGTGCAGATCGGCGTCGTATACGACCAGCTGTGACATGATTCTGTCTCTTGCACTTATCCAGTATGAACATGAGGCATTCATCTCAAGTGCCTCCTTAGCGTATGAGTATTCGGATGAAAGAGTCCCCTTCTCAAAATAACCAAGATAACCCTTCGCCATAGGGTTGGCACATCGAGCAGTTGGGCCATCTTTGTGTGGTAGCTTGAAGTATACGCCTTCCCGATCATCCTTCAGCATTGCGACGGGCTCATCAGTCATATCGCACTGGATCATCTGCTTGCTCGTATACTGTTCCCTCTCTGCACGAGGCACACGGAAGGTCCAACCATATTTGTCGGACCAGAACATCGGATGCCCATCCCACGCGAGACGTAGGAGTAGCGGCGCTATCCGCGTCCGTACCGTGATATTGATAGGTGAGTCGTTCTTGGGAAACAGGTCCTTGTACCACTGCGGCATGCCAGGTTTCTTTTGCCGAGCAGCAGGCCTCGGCGGGTCATTCTTTTTCTTGCCCTTGACCATCTTGATCTCCTGGCCTGACCAATCTAGCTGCTTCAACCATGGATCATTGCTCCACTTCTCCTGATTGTCTTTGATTTCTAAAGCCTTTTCTGCGAGAGACACTAATCGTTCTTGTACGGCATCGGAGAGACGGTGATATGTGGCCTCTGCATTCGCAATGTACGCATCCCATGACTCATTCACGGGAAGGATGACAGAAGAAAGGTGTCTCAGCGCAGCAAAGCTGACAGGGTGGGGACACACTTCGAGGAAGTTGGGAAAGACAATCTGGTAGATACGGTGCGTGATGGCGACATCCGCAGCGCAGTAGTCTAGTAGCTCGTCCAGTTTGCCCAGGATGCCGGCTCGGTCCATCTCTCCGAAATCGTCTCGGACTGATTTATCGATAGCCACATTAAGGTGGAACTTGGCCACGTCGCGGAGTGAGTTGACGGAACTCCTGCCGACCCATAGATCCTCCTCTTCCCGAGACAATTCGTTGCTGCTCAGAAGCTGAGAAAGTTCGACGTTGTCTGTCTCTTTCGCAATCTTATCCCTTAGATCTCGACTCTTCTTGTGCTTCATCCATGTTGGGCGTTGTTGCGAGCACATGCCGTTGACGGCAACATGAAGAGACATGGTATCCAGAAACGAGTTTCTCGTCTGTTTGAGATCATATTCCTCAAGGATCCTCGCTCGATCGTACCCAATGTTGTGACCAACAATGATGCGCTCCTTCGTAGGGTCTCCAAGAGGGATTAGGTGTTTCTCGTTTTTCGATTCTCCCAGGAGCCAGGGAGACAGCCATGCGTACCACGCCGTGGGACCGGCTGCGCAGGCCATGACGGCAAAGGGGCTCTCCTTCCACATGACTTCCGTGTCGAACGATAGCATATTCTCATCGGGCGCATCGACTGCTTCCGTCTTCCCGTCCGGGTAGTACTTTGTCCACCCACTCCTGCGCACCCATTTCCTCGGCCTCGGCGGGGTATTCGCTCGAGCGAATTGCTTCGCATGTGTCAAGAAGGGTTCAGACGCATCGACGCCTAGCTTGTAAAAGTGTTCATCGAGCGTCTGGCCCTGGAGCGGGGGCAGGTCGAAAGCGACCGGGTCGGAGTTGTCGGTGTTCTTGCCCAAGAGATCATGGCGGCGCAAGTGGTCCTTGGAAAGCTCTACCAGCTCTTTCGGTGGAGGTTCGCTTCCTCGAGGGAAGACCTGTTTGTAAATATAGGAGCTGAGTTGCTGGACCCCTATCTCATTGTATCGAGCTTCGGATGGCACTATTGCCCGTGTTAGTCTTGCGCAATTGCTTGTTGCATTTGGGGCTGCCGTACAAGCCAGATTACTCGGCCGCCCGTGTTCATGGGCGGCGGATGCAGATGCAGACGCCTCATTGCTTGCAACGGCGCTCTGCCATCTGACGGATCCGAGGCATCTTCGATAAGCTCGATGCTTCGCAAGGCGCACGAAGCCCGTTGCGGCAGAACCGCTGCGGACGGTGCCACCGACGGGTCGTAGCATTCTATCAGCGGCGCTTGCGCAGGCTGCAGCCCATGGCTGGCGGTTATAGCATTATTCGAGGCTCGCTGCTGGGCGCTTCGAGCGCATTCGTGTACAGGGTTTTGCGTGTTTGGTGGGAGTTGCGATGCAGAAGGAGAAGGAGGGGACGGGATGGGATGGATGCATTACTCTACGTTCAACGAGATTGGGCGAAAAATTCAGGGAGCCAATCTATGAGAGCCCGCGGCGCGTGGTCTGGGAAAGGCTGAATGCAGCCACGGTGGGTGGACTGTGCTGATCCCTAACGACCTAGGCACTGCTAGGTACCTTGGGGGCCGTCGAACCCCCTTGCTCATCCCTACCAGCTCCAGCTGCAGGGGTTATTCAGTCTATCCACGACCTGTGGTACGCTATACCACTTACAACTTTACAAGCCCCCTCGTTATCGAAACCCTTGCTTTTTATCGTTCGTCTCCCTGAAAAGAAACCCTGTTACGGGAGGAGTTGATGTGCACTTTGTGGAAGCAATGTCCCTCGTGGAATATTCCTTGCCTCTGAGCTAACTAGGTAGGTAGGTAGGTATCCAGTTAAGGTAGTGGTTCAATGTAAGTGCCTGACTGTATGAATTCCAAGGAGAGGGGTCAAAGCTGTCCTCCCTCTTCAAGGTTGTTAGACAATCTGAGAACGCTTATCGCGGGGTTGTGCATGTTCACCTACAACCAACCATCTGCTCATGAGCAACAGCCAGTTCGTGTTCCTCTTGGGGGTTGCAAAAAGTGCCGAAAGGCGCCATCAATCAGAGCCACCAACCACGACTCTGGAGAGCCTGCCTGAGCTACCGAGAGAATTCTGCACAGGGCGTAGACACCTGCAGCTCTAGGCCGGGGGTCGTGGACCGAGGTGCAGCAGCTTCCAGACTTCAATGAGCCGAGCCGGTTGGTTGCAGCTCGCGTCACAGCTCCCGGTAAGCAGGCTCGCAGAATCCAAGGAGGTGCTGGTATGTAAAGGGTAGAGGCGTCCCGTAAACCTGGGATTGCTTCTTCTGACATAATGACGGCATCGATATTTGGGTGCTTTCCACGGGGTGTCTCGAATCGTTGGGGGAGTTGAGAGACTAGGACCCGTCCTGGAACTTGGGTGTCGTACCTGCGATGTGGGAGTTTCCGTAGGTAAGCCCGTAGTAGCAGAGTGGCGAAAACCGACTTCACACGCAGCGCCTGACTCGGAACAACATTGACAGCTGAGATGCTATCGCGGACTTATGAAAACTAACCGCGTACGGCCGGGTCGCGGACAGCGCTGGTGTGTTCCGTTCCTCATGTACGTAGTCATTCTGTAATATTGCTTTATATTGTACAGGATTGCCTGTACTTACAGCAGAGTAGGTACTCCGAAGGCGCCCCCGGGTTTCCAGATGGGGATAGCTGCAGCTCGCAGAAGTAACTGTTGGCTGCGCTCGCTCCCGTTGCGATCAATGGCTGGAAGACTCGATTCCATTGATGGAGGGATGGATGGATGGATGGGTGACCTGGGCGGGATTGTGGAAGCTCAATGATTAGCTATAATGTAATTATCATCCATTGAGCCTCCTCTGTCCCCTCTTCTTGTTTCTTCCCGTCTGTCGCCTTTCGATTTATTCAGCTTCAAAAGCCTAGTTCCGACGGCCCCGACACTCATATAACAACAGGCCAAGCCGTCATCTTTGAGCAAAGTCGAATGCCAAACACGCGACGGTATTCCAGCTGTTTGACCACCGGGAAAAGCTAGTTGACATCGACCGCCTTCTCAAGCGCAACAGCAGTTGTGTCTCGCGAGGCTTTTGACAATTACTTATACCAGGGAGAATGCGTCAAATTGGAGCTTCATTTACCGCCTCGGAGTTTAATGCGGTATTCAGGCTGCGTTATCTGTGCCTGAGCCTATGAGGAAAGCGAGAGAGGACACAATGGCCTTCTCTGAGGGTAGAGAAGAAACTGGCTTTTTGGGTGGCTATTATGGTGAGATTACATTGTTCTCCTTCACTTTCTGTGTGATCTACCACATGCCATGCTTCTTTTTAGTACCTAAGCCTTTGATTCCTTTTTCTTCGTGTCTGTCTGTCTTATTGTCTAAAGACATCCATGAAGGGCTTCTTATTTTTATCTAACTACTGTTTCTGAACTCGACAGGTTCAGGTGATTTGGAGGGATACGATCCGGTCTTTGTTGAAGAGAACGAGTTTCGCAGTACCGGTACTGGAGCGCCGAGTTGGGCGGTGTTGCCCCCGCTGCCGCCCCTAGCGCTAACAGCAGCACCTGCTGCTGCTTCTGAGAGTGAGCGCCTCCGAGTCGCCGATTACGAAACCGTAAACACCCAACTTCCGCCACTGTACATGTACATGTCGCATCAACCTCTACCAGCAGCACACTTCGCATTCCCTTCACAATTCCCGAACGACGACTTTCCCATTCCTTCTCTTGGCCCACGCCCACGCTCCCTTGCCGCTCCTCTGCCCGGCTGCACCACCTCGCCATCTTCTCACGATCCCTTCAGCAGCGACCATTTGCGCGCCGGCGCTGACGACAACGACGACGACGACGGACTTACGTTATCGTCGATTCCGACCCTCGCTGGCCCCTCCATCTCCATCTCTAGTTCTTCCGCCGCCCCACGCGCCAACCACGACTCTCTTCCTTTTGCACAACCTCAGCACCTGCCATCTCTGCCTCAGTTGCGATTACCCGCCGATTTCCCCGAACCGCCCGCTCAGCTGCCTGACACTCTACCTATTGGCAGTCCTCCTGGTTCTGGGCAGGATTTCCTCGACTACATGACGCATTTCTGTTCTGCTAGATACTCGAGTGCACTGCAAGAACTCGACAATTTTGCTTACGCCGCCACCAACGACTTACTGTCGCCCACGCTCTTGATCCACCCGGAGCTCTATCGGAACGACGATTCGAGTCCTTTCACAGCGGATCCAGCATTCGGCGCACAATCACAGCTCCCTGTCACGGACGCAGAGGGCGACGATCTCGAAATCGCGGGTCTCACAAAGACAGAACCAGATCGTCCCCCAAACGCCAACATGCCTTCCACCTCGCGTCTTTCAGAAGCCTCCAGGCCTGCTGGAATTCGAAAACGGCCACTTGCAGAGGCCGCCGAGTCCTCCTTGAAGCGGCGCCGAACCCCAGCAGCCACATCGTCGAGAACTCGATCGTGGATAGAACCGAACAGGACCAGGTTCGGCCCCTCGTCGACAGCCAGAACGGGAAGCGTTGGAGATACCAAGTCGGGCTTTGGCGATGACGACGAGGACGATGTGCAGATCATCGATCTGTCGAATACAGAGACAGTACCTGAGGAGCTGCTGAGGCCGGCGGTGGACAACAGCACCAAGCTGAGTGGGTACGAGTGCATTATTTGCATGGACAGATGTACCGATATCACAGTCACGCATTGTGGTAAGTGAAGCTATCTTGAGCGCAATCGCCCGCTCACGCCGGGGGATGTTCCCTGCACGGCACTGGGCAGCGGCGTTCTGCGACTTTGGTCTCGCAATTGCCATCCCTACTAACACGCACGCCTAGGCCATCTCTTCTGTGGCAACTGCCTACACCAGTCTATCAACATGAACCCAGACAAGAAGATTTGTCCTATCTGCAGGCAGAAGCTCGAGCTGCGGCCCAGCAATGGCCGCCTGCCGTCAAAAACCGCCAAGACGTATTTCCACCTGGAGCTGAAGCTAATGCCTAAAAATCGACAAGGCAAGATGCCAGCGACCAGATGACAACAAATAAGCTAAAGACTATGAAAGAAACGACCATCAAAGACGATGCCCCGTTTTGACTTTGCTTTAAAGACGCACAGCCGTCAACTAATAGATCCCCCGCATGATACTTCTTGTACATGGCCCATTAGGGTAGAGACGTACATAGGGTCTGATAGGACAGAATTTGCTTGTCTCCCGGTCTTCGCAGAGGGCCAAAGGGGGATGGACCGGAATGGACGGCAGTGCTCATCGAAGCACAGGGATTGGCATAGGAGGCTTCCGGTTGGCATTCATTGAGAAGGATTTGTGTCAGATACCCCCTTTTCCCAACGCACACAAACACACTTTTTTTTTGGCGTTCAGCATGGACACGACACGATGCATCATATGGTAAATAGACAGGGAGGTCTAGCACACGGCATGAATGAGAGGCGATTCTTCTGATAGGGAGAAGAACGCCTCCATCGCCATATATACAATAAATCACCAATATTGCTACATGTCAAGGATCATGTGAGGCGGGCGTACTTGATTGCACCTGTACAATTTCACTTTTGTGTGGGAATGCCGCTCTAAGCTATTGAGGCCATGATCTAGTATCTCCTGCCACGACGACGCGTGCGGGAATTTTTTTCATTTCTACTTTTTTACAGCCGTGTCCTCATTTGAAAACGCCCCGGGTGTGATGCCTGATTTCCCCCTTTCGTAGTTGCCTGTCCCCCTATCGTCTCGATTAGTGGAAGAGAAGAGGCGTCCTCGGTTTCTCTACCGGGGCTTGCTGTTCCTCGAACTGCAGAGTGACCGTTAGTGGTTGGCTGGTCAGGGAAAAAAAATCCGCATGCAAGGAACTCACCTCCAAGAAGTCAGTAGCGGTGATGAGCACCATGAATGCGTCGGCCAGCTCCTCGACCCTGTCCTCGAGGGTCCTGCTCATGTGGCCGGCGCCGATGCCCGCGCTGCGCTTGAGCACGTGCATCACGAGCATGCGGTGGTCCGTCAGGAAGCGGCGGCCCTGGACGACGTTGTGGGAGCCGCGAGACAGGATGGCCGCGCCGATGATGCGCGCCACCCGCACGAGGATGGTGTAGTGCTTCTCGAGAGCGACGGTGTTGGCGGGGTCTGGGATGTGTGTTAGGCTGGTGAAGCAAGGCGCAAAGGGGGGCTTAAGACAGGTGGACTCACCGATTTCAAGCTCCGGGTCGGCAGAGAATAGACCAGAGACCTCGAGAGAGCGGAATAGATTTGCGTGCAACACGTATTTTGCGCCGTCTCGGGTCTGGCAGAGCTGGAGCAGAAGTGAGAGCTTGGCATCCCAATAGAGCTGGTGGTCAAGATTGTCTGTATCATGTTAGTCGATGAACCAAACACAATCTCGGCAGCTGGTAACCTACTTGTCTGGACGATTTCCAGCCATTCTTGTAGGACTGACTTTAGGGAGTCTACGAGTACGCCGATGACATTCAACTTGTTAAGGGTGTTCACGACATAGGGGTCCTCCTCAGCTCGGCCCAGGTTGACGAACGCCCCTAGAACAATGAGAGCCGCAGTCTGGCACTGCGGATCGCTCCCGTAGGCATCATCAGAGATGACATTGAGCAACCTCTCGCCATACAGCTGGACAGACTTGATAGTCTTCTGCCGGCCGGGGAGAAACCCTGAGCCTTTGTCTACGATGCCAGTCAGATATCGATAGCAGATGGCGTAGTATATGGACCGCAACTCGGAGTTCCCTGCCCACTTGCCGATGGCTTGGAGGCAAATTTGGAAGACCTGGAAGAGTTTATCGCTGATGAGGTTGCCAACTGTGTGACTGCTCTCGTCGGACGCCGTGAGAGAGAAATCCATTTTGAAAAGGAGCATCTTGGCGAGCTTGGCGAGCTCAAGTGCCTCATCTGGGCTGTCGGAGCCATAACTCTCCAGGCTTGGAAGGGCCGCCTGAAGAGCTTGGAGAAGAAACGAAACCCTGGCACTACCCTGGAATTCGTTCGACTCGAACATGACAAGGAGTAGGTTTGTCCAGGACTTGAGAACCTTAAGACGGTAGGAATTCATATGTCTCTGTCGGTTCGAGAAGGCAAGGTATTGAAGCAGAAGGGTCTCCTCCTTGTCAATAGCTTCCGCATCCTCTTTCGAGATGACTTGTCCCGAGCTACGACCCTCATTCCGCTTCAACAGTAGAATCTCTCTAACCTTGTCGATATCATAAGTTGCGACCGAATCCTCATCTTCATCTAGGCATGTTCGCAGGTCAAGATCTCGGTAGTAATTAAAAGTAGGAGGCTCTATATCCCACTGCGCCTCCGGGCCAAGGAAATCGAATAGGTCAAAGACGGTAGGGATAGGTATTGACTCGTTATCATCTCCTTTGAGCTGGCCGTTCAAAGCATCGAAAATTCGTCGTTTGAGATTTGGCAGCCGTTTCTGAGAGACGCTGCAAAGCTCGATGCTCATATATTCGAAGGTCATGGCTCTCAAGGATAGGAAGAACAGGAATGTTGTAGAACCTTCTGAAATCAGGAATTCTGGTCCGCTTGTGTCTTGCCCGTCCCATGGTAGATTGGGCCCTATTGATACTTCTCGAAGAAGTAGGTGGAAGAGGAAATCGTTCTCCCTTAGCTCGTCGAGTACGATGGGCGAAGACAAAGGCGAACTCCATAATATCTGGAGTACTCGTACAATCTTGTACTTCAGAGCGACCAACCATTGTCGCATACCCAAATCATCATCCCCAAATGGTGTCTCAAGTAGAACTCGTAGCATGTTATGGAATAATGATGTTCGAGAGTCGAAATCGCCATCAGGCTCAATGGAGAGTGCATTGAGACCGCACCGAAAGCCTAGAAGAAGATGCGCGATAGTTGGCTGATTTGGTGTTGCCTGGAGACAAGCATACAGGAAGTCCAATATGTAGATTTTGATCATATATGTCGGTGACTCTGCCTCTCGGCCTAGATCAAGCGGTATTGTCAAGTCTGCGACGAACGACCCTGCTATCGTCTCAGCCTCGCCATCCGCTTCGAGAGCAACGATCGCTTTGTTACGATGGGACTGTTTTCCTGGGCCTGGGTTCCACGCTGATATTATTTTTGATGATGCGGATATCTTCTCTAGAAGTTTCAAGCATGCTAACGTCAAAGCAGGATGTCCCATTCCACAATAGCGGCCGAGATCTACGATGAGATCTAGGTGACTCATGATACCATCTTCGAACGAGGCGTAGACAGCATTCGCAACGGGTTCCTTTCGACGAGGCGACTGAAGTTTTATCAGAGGCCGAACTAGGTCAAGGTAAGTGGACTGTAGTTCAAGCACTTTGGTGAAAACCTCAACACCACGTAGGATGCCCAAGATTAAGGGTGAATTTGGCGTTGCGCTACCAACTTCCGCGCCGTCTTGATGAATCGTAGAAAACAGTGCAGACATGACTCTGTCGTTAAACATCCACTCCATTACTCGAGCAAATGGATGAAGTTTGACATAGGTTGCCAAGTCAGTCGTAGATATTACTGAATCGACAGCGATATTAGACTCGTTTGCGATGATGATAAGATTCTCGTTAAATGTCTCCAGACACAACAAGACAAATTCAAGACAAGTCAGACGAAGTATCCTAAGTTGATGGACATCTTGCAGTTCCTTTGACCTTGAACCGAAAACCTTGCCAAGAACATAGTCAACGTATGGATCGATGCCAGGCAGCCTGAAATTCGACCCCAATGTCTCAGGGAAAGGTAGGGCGTCGTTGAGATTGGAGGCATCCTCAACGGGAGATACGAGAGATATGAGCAGCTCAATGAAGGCATTGGGTTCTTCAAATCCCACTGCAATCTCCTCTGCAAGTCGCTCCATGAAAGCGGCTGGGTTCTGGTGTGATTCAATCATAGGTTGCCGTGGCTGGTTTTGTGAGACATAGTATTGGCCAGTCATATACCCATCAAGCATGGTCCACATTATGGAACCCTCTTCTTGTGATTTGCGAGTGATGAGAGATTTTGCAGCGTGGAAGGCACAAGCTCGAAGCCGAGCGGGAATTGAGCTGCTTGCTAATTGATAAAGCAGCTCAACGAGATTGAAGTCCGAATGCTTCAGTAGAAATTGTCTTGCCACCTCACTCCGTGACGATAATTTGGTGATTAGTCGCAAGTAGCATTCCAGCATCATCGCAGACTCTGGCTCCGTTTCAGCTTGCTCGCTTGTAGGCTTACCTCCTCGATAGAGATGAGATTGTGCTGGTGTTGGCCGTTCCCGAATCTTGCCCGAGAAAAATAGCAGCTCTCGAAATATTTGACTCCAAGTCAGAGATAGCGTCTTTCGCATCTTTCCAGACGAATGCTGGCTATCATCCTGAAGAAACTCGTGTGCAGATGTTGCGCAGTCGTCGTTTTCCGCGATGGATTGGAGCATTTCGCAAAATGCACTGACTAAGGGTGTTGAGGCTCTTCTGGATGCCCAGTGCATGAAACCAGCCAGATTGCTATCGGGGTCAGACCAGAAAGCTTCTGCAGCGTCAGGGCGGCCTTCGTAAGCGTATGCGATGATGAGGAGAAACCTCTCTAGATCTAGATCTTGCTCATGGGCTTGGCTAAGCTGTCGCTGTTCATCCTCTTCTACCCGTAATTTCCGTAGAACGTCCGGAAGGTTAGAAATGAAGCCCTCAACAAACACCTCTAATTGCAGCATGAGGACATTTTGAAAGAAATCCGAGAACTGGACTGTATCCGCGGAGAGACTAGGGGATTTCCGCTGGAGCCACTGCCGAATGCCTGAGCGAGCAGGATCCTGCCAATCTGGCGTTTTAATATCCGCGGCTACTGAGAGTATGAAGTCGAAAGCACCATCTTTCAGTGCCTCTGTGAAGTGTTTGGTCCTCTCCTTATCCTCTTGCAAATGATTTAGCACCATATCGATAACGAAAGTTAGGTGTATACATACCTTCGTCTAAGTCGACTCCCTGGATGGCAGAGTCAGGGACGACATCATCAAGATACCAGCCACTATACTCAATAATCCACCATGCCCGAGCTGCTGCATGGAAATATGTAAGAAGCCAGGTATCGTCATCTGCCTGTTTGCAAATGACACTGTTCAGCCTCCGAGCCACTGTTAGGTCTCCGATACCCTCCGTAGAGCCGAACATGTTGATGTAAGCGCCGAGAAGGGGGAAGAGGTGAACTGTCCTTCAAGTTAATTGGCTTGTAGGGTAGCAGATCATGTTCTTGTCATACCTAGTAAATGGTCATATCTATCAAGCCTCTTGAGCAATGTGAGAAATTCCTCGAAGTCCTGCACATCGGCCATCCGTTTCTCGACGGCAGAGCAAAGGATAACAGCAAGAAGTTCATGCTGCTGAACGAGGCTGACCCGCGAGAACTCCACCATCTCTTGCACCTCCGGAGCGCTCGTGGTGTTGGCTTGACTGACAACAGCTGCAGTAGTCAACCGATCTGACAGTTTTTGAAGCCACATCTTGATATCGCGCATAGCTCCCATGCATCTCGAAATGATTTTTTTGTCTCGACTTGGCGCTGGTTCACCTGGGACGCCCTCGCCATATATGTGTTGCGAAACGAAAATTCCGAAGCCATCCTGTAAGCCATCTGGGAGGTCGTCGTCGGCGGCAAGCTGAACGCATAACCGGATACAATCGAGAAGATATTTGCGCTGTTGGTGAAATCTGATGAGTCCACATTCCAGCAGTGATCGCCCCAGAGCTGATTGATCATCCTGAGATTCTAAAAGGACTTTCGCCGATATGACTTCGTCTAAGTCCAGTTCGTCGGCAAGCTGGAGCGCAATTTCCTGAAATTCTTTATTGACAGAGTATTCATCATCGCCGACCTTGATCTTGCCTGTGATTTACCAGAGTTAGTTTTGATTGTGACCGAAACGTTGCCAACTCCACGCACCAGAATTGACCGCGTTGCGACTCTCTGTTCTCCTCGGCGGCTTGTTGAGAAGCTCTTTGAATGCCGCAGCATGAGCATCCAGTTGTTGCTCGAGAGCCTGGAGACTCTCGAAGCGATGATCGCAGACGGCGACAAGGTCTCGGTGTAGGGCCTGCAAAGCCTCTAGAGCTGTGGCCTCAGACATGATAGGCGCAGTGACTGTCAGAGCATCGTTCTGTGGTCGCTTGTGTGCGCCGTATGGGGCGACCTGTCGGGGGTGACGAGCAGTCTAGAGTGAGGATGTAAAGGCGGCCGGACAATTCGTGGGAGACCGGGCTCAGTGTTGTGTAGAGACCAGAAGTCTTAGAGGGATGGCGCGTAAAAACGGCCAGGCTTGGTGTTGGACGCGATCTTCAAAGCTTCCACAGCGCAGCAAAAGACTGTGGGGCTGCCATGCCGGCGTTGCTCAGCTGTGACGCTAGAACAAAGACAGCGGGCGGTCAGTGAGTTCTGCCGGCCATTTAGTCCTGAGCTAGGTGCTCCAGGGGTGGTGTAGGTGCGGCCCGGAGCTAGGTAGAGCTTCCTCCTGCCTTCTTAGCTTCCAACGCGAATGCCTGCCGTTTGAGACTCAACAACGATGATATAGCACCAAATTCCCGGCATCACTGTGACTACAGAGCCTTTCATCTCGAGAATTGAGACATCAAGCTGCCATAACCTTTGGTCGTAGAGAAAAAGCTCCCAATTTCACTCCTTTCACAATCTATCACGTTTCTGCCTAACCGTCTCGCGGTAGCTTAGTCACTGAATACTGGAGCAGGTCTGTCTGATGGTTGGATAGTGCAGTGGTGCACCCATGACTTCTTTGTGATATTCTCCCACGGCAAACGACCTTCGATGGAATTCTACTGATTATTTTTGACGTCAACTTGTCAAATGTCTACTAGAGGCATAGCAAGACTGCGAAATGGCGCCGAGGCAAGGGAAGACCAGGGGCGAGGGCAATGTCACCGACATCACAAGTATGTCGCTTGCTTATATTGTACCTTAGTGCAGAGAGACTAATTGATGCCCAGGCACAATTAAGACTGGGAGCGCCAATGCTCGTGCATCTGCATTGCAAGGTAAGCCTTTTCAAGGTCAAGATAGTCCCCAAGTTTGAGTCTAATGATCATAGACTTGATTGACTTCTTCAAAGGCCTAGACCGGTCTACCGGCCAGTAAGTACAACCCTCAAAGACAGAGAACGCCGTCTGATATAGTACTTCTAGGAAACCTTTGAAAGATAAAGGATATCATGAAGTTTTCGAGGCCTTATTTCAAGCTTCTTTGGCCGAGAAGAAGTCATACCTCAGCAACAGAGGCCCCAAAAACATAACTTCGTCGAGGCTGACCAAATGTGCCGAGGCTCTCCGCATCGCCGTCACCCACGGAGCATCTAAGATCAAACGCCAGACCGCAAGGGCTGTGATCGATCACATTACCCAAACATTACCAGATAAAGACCAGGCGTTATTCGAACCATTTGCATCGGATTACATCAAGGCTTTGGTCGCCGTTCTTGGCCACCCCGCTAACGTC